GTGTGTGTGTGTGTGTGTTTGTGTGAACTTAGTACTTGGAATGTGATGGTGCAACAGCCTTTATTCAGTATTTTCTTTATACAGTCACCTGTGTACCATTTTAATTTAGTTTACAACCAGCAGTGCTGTTTTTAATTAGTGCACAACTAACATTTGCACTAGCAAATACTAGTAAATCATGTCTGTCAACATGTTACTTTATGTCAGCCAGTGCCAAGTATTCAGTTTCTTTTCTAATCCTGTTAAAATGGACTGCGACAACTCTATAATTATTGAAACATGACTGTATGGGAGTATAATTGTTTTTATACTGTCACTAACAAATTTTCCTGGTACAATAATTGTGGCCATTTACTGCACTTTTATACCCTAATGGACTTTGCTCACTCTGAAAGATTGGAAACCGTGAATGAGAGCACAGCATCTCTCTTTCTCTTCTGAAGGGAACTGTATATGTGTTTGTAAATACTGTAAAAACATTTGATACGTTTTTCACCTTTTAGAGAGATTTCTTTTTATCATTTTGAAAGATTTGTTTTTAAAGCATATAATATATAGGTTGGATTTCTCAAGCTGGTTCTTAGTCAAAAATCATTGGAATTAAAAGAGAAAACCAACATGTATTGCCCTTGTCTTTTGTCAGTATTGAGCATGAATGGTTTTATAATCGGAAATAAAACTTTCTTGTGGCTTCATGAGGAAATACCACCTGCTGGGATGCAATAAGGAAGTTGACAGCTTTACTTAGTGTGACAGTAAGCCACCATTGGGGCTGTAAAATTATTTAACATCAATAAGTCAATTCTATGCAATATTGCTTACATTTATTATTCAACACATGCTTATCCAAAAAAAAACAAAACAGCTGGCAATACAACAAGTGATTAATTATAAATGTCTTTTCATAGCTGAAATATTGAATTAAAGTTCTCACATAAAAAAAGCTACACACACGTATCATTCTTTCATCACTTTAGACTCTGAATTCTCATGAGAACAAGCATCTCGTCATGTGTGGAGTACAGTATAAAACCAGAAAAACGAGTTTTGAGACTCCAGCTAAGAGCACATGAGCCACTCCCCTAAAGATAAGCAATCGGTCATCTGTGTACAGAATGAGCTCATAACACATCATGTGGCTGGCCGGGTGGCTTTTTACGCTACACCTTTGATAAATATCCATAATTCATGTATTTATGTTTGCACTTGGACTGATTAATAGAAAGTAAGTAACATTTAATATACATTGAAAGAGATCAAAGATATTTTGATTTGGTCCATTTAAAAAAAAAAAAAGTATTGTGACCTCTGACCTATAAATTCTAAGCCAGTGTCATTCTTATAATAAATATATTTTCAAAAATATATAAAACAAAATAAATATTCTGTAAGACTATATTTCAATCCAAAATATACTGGAAAAAAAATCATAGAGGAAAATAAGTTTTTTTGCACTAATTTCTTGACAGTATTTTTCATTACATTAATAAAACAATCATTAATCAATCATACATATTAAGTATATTCAATTGGATATAATAAAATATTAAACATTTAATAATACATTTTAGCACAATGATTTTCCTCATTGTATTGCAGTAATATGATTAATTTTTTTTTTTTTTTTTTTCAAAATTGAAATAGGGAGTATGTTTTAATGATGAGAATGGTTTCATAATGCAAAACATTTTAATGGGTAATGTTTTTTTCTGCAAAATATTAGTTGTTTTGTTTTCTTTTGATTTTAGTGTGGTATTTCTTTATGACATTCACCCTACAGCTCTTGAAGTGATTGCCGTCTGCTCTTGGCTTTAGAGAGAGATACAGAGGCTTTGTTCTGATGAACCGTGGCCTGGGGCCGTCCACCCTGCACTGCTTCTGAAGTATGCTGGGATGTTTGTGCTGCAGCTGTGCCCTTCTGTCTAACCTCCTCTTGCTCTTGTAGACACCAGCTGCACAAAGATATCAGCCAGGTCATTCGCAGCTGACTCCAAACCTATGCAAACAATGGCCATCTATTAGTCCTTCATGAATACACACACCATCCTTCCACTTGTCAAGTGGGCTTGTGGTTATGCACCCTATTAAACTTCACAGTACATAGACATAATATTATTGTAATATAATCATCTATAACTGAGGAGCTGGTGTTTTATTTGCCTAATTTTTCCAAACAATGTGTCAGTTCATTAATGGGCCCGTTGCTCATCTGAAATCACATTCAATGGCGGTGTAAAAGTATGCAACAATGGTCACCTTATACACCTGAAGGTCATTAGACATGAGGTCATGTTTAACCTTTAGAGATGGGGAGGGTCGTTTCTGAGTATAATTACATGTCTTAAGAGGCTTGTTTTAATCGCCTGTTAACCCTATCCTGGTGAAAGAAAAAAAAAACACATTATCTCCACCTAACAAAAAATTTAATAAATAATTATAATATTATATTATAATATTTCATGTTATATTATACAAAACAAATGTGCTTTTTTGTGTGCTCAGCAGTTTATAATTATTCACTACCTTTCTGGTCAATGTTGGGGAAAGTTACATTTAAAAGTAATAATGCATTACAATTTGTCTTACTCCCTAAAAAAGTAATTGCATTACTTTTTATGGAAGGTAATGCATTACATTACTTTTGCGTGTTTGTTTTTAATATAAAAAAGTTCTATTTGATGCAGGAGAAGAAAGTTAGACACTCTTCAGCAAATGCGTTACCCCCAAGTTCCAACATTGTTTCTGATATTCCTAATTGGCTATGTGCTCAGCATTTTAGAATTCAAAGAGCTCAGCTTTGGGTCTGTTTTTAAACGTTAACACATGAAAGTGGAGTTGCTGATTCAGCCGGTTCAGATCTAGGAGCTAAGCATGATTTACTGTAGGTAAATTTGCACAGATGAGCTGCTCTGAAACACCCTGTAATCTACTGCACATAGGATAAGAGTGAGGGACAGAATGTGGATCAGTTGTGGGAATAAACTACCTTTAAATTCATATTTCCTCATACATTTCAAAGACTCCTCATTTTTTAATGTAAGTCCACAAGTTCAGTCATTCTGTGAGCTTGTAATGAGACAGCTGTTAGAAACTGTTCTAGAGCATTGTGCTCAGGCATATGCACTGCTTGGTCCATTCAGTTTATTTGTTCCTCTTTAAAAAGGTTTTACTTTTGGAAAACATGTTTTAAGTCCTGTACACTCACAGTAGATGAAGACTCCAGTCATATCAGTAGCCTAAGAAAAGCTGATTGATTTATTTGACATAGATCAGGTTGCATGGGGCCAACATGCTAAGATCACTATTACTTGATTTATCTTTGTAAACCAATGTTTTCAAACACTTTGATTGTGCAATAAATTAATCATGTCTGATTATGAATAAGGCATTGTTAAAATGACATTGGTAATTAGAAACCGCATTCACGCCACAAGACGACATATTTAACCACAACAATTCATTTGATTTAAAGTAAATATAGAAGTAAATCTACATTTGATTCAAATAAAACACAAAAATGTGACTTTATTAACGCATTTTGCATAGATTGAAGAATATCCACCTTATTTTATTTTTTTACATAAATGCATTTGTAACTTGAATGTGTGAGGCTTCCGGTGCCATTCACCTCCAGTTATTTTACCCATCAGTCTGTTATACCACTTGATACTGAAAACTGGTATGTTATTATATTATTTTACTTTATCATAATCATAAACATACTGGTTTGTAACGAAAATAGCACATTGATAGAATAAAGCTTATTTCCACATTGCAAAATAAGGTTGATAGCGCCACAGGAAATTCAACTTTCGAGTTATTTAAACTAATAGGTGACAAAAAAAGCAATAAGACATGAAAGTCTGTGCATTAATCAAAGGGATGATCTTAGGCATGATGCAAAGAATTGAGTATCTAAAACCCTCATATTGCTTTTACAACACAGCTACACCAGCAATGTGATAAAAGACATCAATGTTCAATGAACAGTTCACATCAACAACAAACAGAAGTAAACTATTCTACAAAGTAATACAGTTCATTATCAGTACCGCAGGAGTTTCCAGTTGCCGTTAAACAAAGTGACTTTTGTAGAATTACAGTTATCGCACTGCAGAATATTTGAAGATCGTAAACCTGATGACATCTCGTCATATTATAATTTGAATTGTCTTAATATATGAATGAATGCATTTTGGGAGAGAAGAATACTAACACTTGAAATATGCACATACGACACGTTTCCCTATAGGTTATAGAAAAAAATCTTTGGAAGACGTTTTGAATGGCATCCTCTTACATTTGACCTGAGATGTAAACAAACATAATAAAACACTCTTATTTTCAATACAATTTTTTCATTCCATTATAGAAAAAACACTGAGAAAAATACTTTTTGTTTTGCCAATGAAAGATGTTGGAAGAAACGGAGTGAATTTCACAAATTGTGCCAGCGGAAAGCGGTTCCTTCATGTATTGGTGAGAAGCTCAGTAAGGCACGGTCGAAAGAGTTCACTCCTTGAGTTTACTCTCCAGAAAGTCTTGAATTTGATTGAGGTTCTCTTCTTGTTGACCCAGTGCTTCAAGTATGATTCCCATGGGTGATTTCTTGAGTCCAGCACTCTCCATCTTATTCTCCAGTTTGTTTTTCATGTTCCGTAGGCGAAGCGATGCATGTACAAAGATCACTGAAATGCAAAATGACAAAGGACTTTAAGCTTCCAGATGCTTCATGTTGCATGCTAAATGACATAATATCTGGATTTAATAAACTGCTGTTTTGCATTTGTTTTCCTGCAAGCCACAATGAGTCTTATTGTTTTCCATCGAATAGGTTTCCATCTTACGAAAACATTTTTTTTCCTCATTTCATTTTTAGATTTATGAAAATTATTATTTTCTTAAGAAACTTACAGATAAGAGGCAGCTTGATTCCAAGCAGGAGCACCATAACTCCACCAAAAAGCGACATGAGGAAATAGCTCACGACCATCACCAGGAATACAAACAAAGCAGGGTTCTCCTTCTTGAATTTTTTGACGACCGCCTTGTTCTCCCCTGCCCATACAGAGCCAATGAAGACAGAAGCGACCACTGCTGCACCCGTGAACATGCTCACAGGGTTCAAGAACCTGTGGACAGAGAATTTGGCAGTGACAGGATCTTATTGAGGCAAAAATTATAGTGATTATACTACATTTGTGTCCGACACTTTTCCCCCCCAACTTCGATGTCTACTTAGAAATAAGCAGTGTACTCATTAAAGTTGTACTCACTGTGTTTTTGATCACAGCCTTTTATGTTTTATGAGAATACACGCATATGTCAATGGTGACACCTAACGGTTATAAAATGTAAACACAATAAAATATTGTTGACAAAAAGCAGGCATCTTCCATGTTGGGCTTAAAATATTTAAATAATTAACTTGACAGTTTAATAATTTTGACTCTGAAACGTTAAAATAGGCATGCAGTCTATGATTGTGAAATTATTACACGACTAAATACTGCTTTCGTGCCCTTTGCTAATGGACAGTGTCAGTGTCATGTGATTACACCCTTAAATATTGTTCAGTCTTAGCAACTAGCTATAATATTAGAGCCAAACCATAATCTCCCAGACATTAGATTGGCCTTCATCTTACAAACACAGCTGCCCACATATCAACACAACTATGTGTGCCCAGCCCCAGTTCAACTAACTGTCCACGAACTATATTTAACTAAGAATTACCTCATGTTCTAAATTGTACAGGACAAAAACTTCGCATGAGAACAGCTTATTTTTTTTCAGTGCAACATTAAATTCTCTCTAAAAAAAAAAATAGATAAAAAAAATAGTATCAAAGTACCATTAAAAAAACATTTAGGTGAATTTTATTAGAACTTTATTTATAGTGCATTTAAAGCTATGTTCATTTAAAGCTGACTTAAGAGTATTTTGTTTCAACAGTCATTTCTCGCGATACTTTGTGTAATGCGATGTTTGTATTGACGTGCCGACGACAAATTAGAAATAATATTTGAATATTCATTTAACAGTTAAATCCCATATTGTGCATGCATGATCACGTTCACCAAGAAGACAGGCTAACCTTACTGGACTTACCCTACAACCAGGAATACAATGATTGCCAGTACCAGATAGTTAGTTTGATAGTACAGGAGGTTGCTGACCACTCTGTTGTTCCATTTCGCCAGATCTCGCGTGTCTGGTCTGGCGAAGCGCTCTGAGCCTGGATAGAAATCATCCCAGCTTCTCAAAGGGGCGATCTCCACTTTAGCCATTAAATCAGACTAACCGGATCCCAGCAGCTGCTCACCTCATATGCAAACAGTCACGTCTTCACTCTTCTTCTTAAGCGTTTTTGGCGGTTGGCAAACCAGCTAATAGGTGCTTTACCACCACCTGCTGGACTGGAGTGTGGAACAAAAGTCTGGCTGAGAAATATAACAGGATTAATAAAAAATAAATAAAAAAATGGGTGTGGGGGGGATTTGCCCTACTATTCTATGATCTTCATACACATATGATGTACATATGTTTTCCTTAGTGCTGTTCCAAGTATATTTTCCAAAGCGAATTTAAGTTTATATTTTTCAAATACTTCTTTTAATATTATTCTCTTATTTTCATATGCATGACATTCTATTATTATATGTTTTACTTGTTCCCAACACTCTTGTACTATTGCCTTTGTAGGGTGTAAACTTCCTCACTCTCGCTTTGGCTTTAAATGGGTGGCAACTTAGACAAACTATCGAGATTGAAGCAATCTCAAGAGACAATAGGCTTTTTATTATCATGCTACTCACATGTTTCTTTACGGTTGTTTTACTACTGATTGAATTAGCCAGGAACTCGATGGGATGAATCTTTTTTTTTTTTTGAGTCGGATCTTTTAAATGAAACATTGGAACTGTTTCACAAAACCGAATCGATTCTGGAGTCAATTGAACCAATAACCTATAGTGACCCTATAGGATCTGATTGATGTGGAGAAAAGCGAATTACTTTAATAGCTGACATTTTACACATAAAACATACTAAACACATGACAGTTTTATCAAAAGGAATACGAAATAAGGTTCCGTTTCAATGAATTGCATTAAAACCCTATTTAAATTACAGCTAAGAAATGCAGATACATTTTTAGTATTACTAAATCCAGCATGCTGTGTGGGAGCCTGAAAAAGTAAATAAACTATTTTCATTGGTTGTTAAGGTCATTACGTAGGTACCCCGGAAACTCGGTGTAGACTGGCCACGCCCCTTCTGTGAATGTCATGGCTGCGCGCAGCGTGAGTGAAACTACAGATGTGCTAAAATACTAAAGCATATATTTTTTTCTTGGGTGAATAAATATAACTTATTTTATGTCATATTTGATACATTTATTGTTTCTTTTGGTAACTCCAATTATAACCTCACAGTGTTATCTTTGGTAATATCACGTTATGTGCTCATCACCTTAGAAGCTAGCTTCGAAGAGTCGCTTCAAGTCATAAGCTATTTATTAACCTAACGTTTATGCATATTTAAGATTCTCTTCAGATGAACTGAGGAGGGCAGCAATACGCCTTTGAAGCGTCTAAGCTGCCGCAAATCACAGAAGAAGAAGAAGAATAAGCTTCAGTATTATTTATGACATGTGAAATTTAGAGACAGTGACATTATTGTCTGTAAGTTCACCGATGTGGGCTAAATTATTTCTGCGCCCCTCGTTTATCAACCGAGTTAATATCACGTGGAGTCGCAGATTATTAGTCACAATGCAACTGAAAACTAAAGAGTTTGAGTCCTTATTTACCGACGGGCTGGTTGGTATTGCTGGTAAGTTCACTTTATCTTACGTCATCATAATTTTTTCAAAAATACTGTGGTGGTACCATGGTACAGTGATAGTAGGCTATACCACTTTTAATATGCAGTACCAGTGAGAAGTTTGGACACACCTACTCATTCTTTGTTATTAGCATTTTCATATTATATAATATTACTTAAGTCACCAAAAATACAAAATGACACAAATGGAAATAAATCTATTTGACATTTTATTAAATCAGGCGTGTCCAAATCTCTGAATGATTACCATGTTAGTGTACCATGCTATTTACTTTGTACTACCAAGGAACATTTGATATTTGTTTTGATAAATAGAAATATTTGAAAAGAACCAGTTTGAGCTGAGGATTGCAGGAGGTGCGGTGCGGGATCTTCTGTCAGGAAAACGGCCTGAAGATGTGGATTTTGCCACCACAGCCACTCCAGAGGAAATGAAGAGCATGTTCCAGGCAGCAGGAGTCAGGATGATTAACAACAAAGGAGAGAAACACGGGACCATTACTGCCAGGGTAAGGTGAAGCATAGTTTTTATACTGATATTCATCAGACATTTTACTTGGGTGTTTTTCTAAACCTTTAATTCATATTATTGAGCTTCTGCAATGGGTTTAGGTGATCTGTTTTAATTTGTGACAATTCTCCACATAATCTCAATGTTATATCCGCAAACTGAAACATAAGGATTTATACATTTTTATAGCTTCATGACGAGAACTTTGAAGTGACCACATTGCGAGTGGATGTACAGAATGATGGGCGGCACGCAGAGGTGGAGTTTACCACTGACTGGCAGAAGGATGCAGAGCGCAGAGATCTCACCATCAACTCCATGTTTCTTGGTAAAACATAAGGAGTTTCTAAAATAATATTTCACCTGCATGAGCTTTGCAATTTAATATCTTCATGAATGAATTCTTCATTGATTTGTTAAATTTCATTTGGAATAATTAACATTTTTGTGTATTTGATTTGTCCTTTATTGTGTTTTTACAGGGCTGGATGGGACACTCTATGATTATTTCCAAGGATATGAGGACCTCAAGTACAGGAAAGTAAGGTTTGTCGGCAGCGCCTCACTACGGATCCAAGAGGACTACCTTCGAATTCTAAGATACTTCAGGTAATTATGTGCTATTACTGGGAAGAAATATATGCCTTTGGAATGATATAAGGGTGAATAAATTATAACAGAGTTATCCCTTTAAATTTTACAATATATATTTTTTACAATAAAATTTTTCATTGAACATTATAAAGTAGAGTCCACTGTATAGCCTATAAATGGCTAATGTGGTTTATATTTATTTATTTATTTATTTTTGTCTGGTTGCTCTGTAGATTTTATGGTCGGGTGGCAACTGAGCCTGAGAAACATGAACCCGAGACTCTGGAGGCAATAAGAGAGAATGGCAGAGGATTAGCAGGAATCTCAGGTGAGAGGATCTGGGTGGAGCTGAAGAAGATGCTGGTCGGAAACCATGCTGATCACCTGCTGGAGCTTGTCTATGAGCTGGGCCTTGCCCAGTACACAGGTGAGAAACAAAAAATAGTGATGCAAATATTTGTAAGGAACTGTGGCTGAAAATCTAAAAATATAATGGACATTTACCTGTCACTAATTGGTTTCCATCTGAATTTATTATTCAAAATGCATTTAAAAATGCAATTCATATGGACAGTTTTCTATGATGAACATGCTTTAAATTTCTGAATTAAAGTTAACTTTGATATTTTTTGTGGGGCATAAAAATGGTAATGTAACTTTCTGGAGATGTAAAAAGGAAAAAGTTTTTTCATATTAAATTATTATTATTATTTTGTTTAATGAATGTAACATTTATATATCAGAATAATTTTTATATTATAAATGTTCAGACTTGCTGTGTCTTTTCCTGCAGGTCTTCCAGCAGATGGCAATGTTGAGGAGATGAAGCAGATCTGGCAGAAGGCTCACGACAGCTCTCCTAAACCCATGACTATCCTGGCTGCTCTGTTCCGAAGCCAGGAGGATGTGGAGAAACTGGATCTGCGACTGAAACTATCCAGAGAGGAGAAAAACTTGGGCCTGTTCTTGGTCAAATACAGGCGAGATCTCGTTAAGGGACAGGACGAACATGACGGCATGAAACTGTACACAGATTTCATCATTGATGTATGTACTTTTCCTTCCCTTCTAAAGTTTAGTACAAAAAATGTCATTACATCAGTTGCTGTACATTGATTAAATTTAATTCAAAATTAAATCAATGTACAATGTTTTAATTAAAATTAAATGAATTTCATATAAAGCATTTTGACATACAAAAAATGCATTTGTTAAACAAACATCAGTAAGACCCACTTTATCCCCATAATCATTAAAACTGTCATTCCAGTGTTATTTTAGTTTTGTGTACCACTGTAGTATTCATTAATATTTTGAATTAGCTTTTATTTTTATATTTTATGTTAACAGTTTTAGTTTAAATTTGAGTCATTTTATGTGCTTTTGTCATTCAATTTAAAAAAATATATTTTTAGTTATTTTTATTTTATTTAAAATGTAGTAATTTTAGAACTTCAGAACTTTTAGTTTAGTTAGCAACATTTCTACATTCTAAGTTTTTCTATATATTTTATATTATATTTTCTATGCATTACATTTTTATTTTATTTCAGATTTATTTAAATTACCAAGAAAATTAAGTAGTCTTAGTTAATAATAACAACACTACGGAAGAGGATTAGGGCCAAGAAATAAAAAAATAAAATAAAACCATCTCGAGGTTAAAGTCATTATAATACGAGATTAAACTCATTCAATTTCAAGAAAAATGTCTAAATAAAATGTTGAGAATAAAATCATTAAATTTAGAGATTAACGTTGTTGAGTTTTGAGAAAAAACTTGTTAAATTGCGAGAAAAAAAGCCGAAATTAAATGTTGAGAATAAACTCATTAAATTACGAGAATAAAGTCGAAATAAAATACTGAGAATAAACACACTCGTGTCATGTTCATTTTATCTCGTTGAATTGTATTAGTCAGCGTCGTCTGCAGTTGCGTAGGTCGTAGAGAGCAATGCTCACGTATGCGGTCGACCAGAGTTTGTTTCCGCCTTTTGCCGAACTCACTCTTCTTCCTTTTTCATCACATATCACATCGGAAAAGTGGAAATCAATTGCCTAACGAGTGTTTAATAATGATGTATTAATTGGGTAGGTTTAGGGGTTAGTAGGCTATAGGGTTTTTTTTTTTACCAGTAAGGCAGCGTCTATTTAATAATTTTAATAAATAAAATAATTTACACTCTGTTATTATTGCATCCTGTTAATGTACAGCAATACTGAGGTACAAATAGTATCTGTCACTATTTATAAGTATAAATAGCATCTAATTACTATTTACACTTATTGCAAAGATCTGCTACTTTTACATAGCTTAAATAGAATCACTATTTTCACTTAGTGTAAATAGCACATCGCTAAAAATGCTGCTGTTGTCACTTAGAATAAATAGAATATATCACAATTTTCTCAGTGTAAATAGCATCCGATGTGATGAAAAAAGGAAGAAGAGCGAGTTTGGCAAAAGGCGGAAACAAACTCTGGTCGA